CAGATTTCCCCTAGGGGAAAGTGCTTTATGGGAATACCACTTGGGCTTCAGGAATGAATGAAAAGAGCTATTTTCCCTTTCTTTGAGTCAGGCAAACATCTGCATTGTCCCAAATCACAGCATATATATTCTACCATCACACCTTGGCTCTCGGCAACCTCTGTTTTCAATAGGCTTCCCTCGTCTTTTTATCCATTTTAATTTGAGCTGTCTTTCAAGTGCTGACTCAACCTACTTCCTTCCAGGGTGATTTCATGATTATTCTAGAACACAAAAACATTCTCACCTCTCAGTCTTCTAGAACTGCATTTTCTATCTGGTATCACAATATCCTACTGGGTCTCAAGCAGTATGAAAGACGTCATGAATGTCCCATCACTAAGTTCATATACACAGTTTTGCAAAATGTCTTCGTTATTTGAGAAAGGAAATAAGATATGGGGCTTATCTTGCATCACAGACAGATTCCCTCTATTTAAATCCCAGCTCCTTCATTTGCTTCATATGTTATCTTGAGGAGGATACGTAACCTTCTGGGCTTCAGTGTGCTCATCTATAAAATGGGGAGAATAATAATACCCACCTCACTTTATCATTATGTTGTAGACTAATCTATGATTAAGCTCCCATAACAAAACCTCTTCCTTTTAATCTTAACTTGGATTCATAATATACCATGGCCAAGATATACCTTGAGTACTCAGTAGTTTGGCTTCAATTACACAACCTTCTAAACTTGCACATTTTAGAAAACCAATAACCAGCTCTAGTGATCAGAAGGCTCTGATCACTGGGTGGGTTGCCAGGACTTAATCTGGGCTGAAAACATTATTTTACCTTCAGCTTTCCCTCTGGCAAATAGGATACAACTTAGGGGAGAAAGTTGCTGAGCGAAGCAACTTACAGACATAATGTTTAATGTCAGTTCATGGGATAAGTGATGGTCTCATATTTCCTTCTTCTGTGGGGAAGCTGCCACAGATTGGAGAGGAATTGCCCACATAATCATCATATCTTGTTAAGCAGGAGGCTTTGAACCAAGTGTGTTTGAAAAGTAACATAACTTGTGTACCCAAGTAACATAACTTGTGTACCCAAGTTCTTTATATGTCATCAGGTAAGGAGGAAAGAAAATTGAAATGCAATGATGACATATCTACTTTATTATTATTTTTTGTGTGTGTGTGGTACGCGGGCCTCTCACTGTTGTGGCCTTTCCCGTTGCGGAGCACAGGCTCCGAACGCGCAGGCTCAGCGGCCATGGCTCACGGGCCCAGCCGCTCCGCAGCACGTGGGATCCTCCCGGACTGGGGCACAAACCCCGCATCGGCAGGCAGACTCTCAACCACTGCACCGCCAGGGAAGCCCCGACATACCTACTTTTAACAGCAACCTACCATGTTTAAGGACTTTGGGAATTCCCATTGTACCATTCCTTAGAGTTCGTCATATCCTCCTCCTCAGCCAGACCCCTCTCTTATCCACAAAGCGAGATAGAAAGAAGCGAAACATATCTGTCCTTAGCCCTATTGGTTCACATTTACTAGGATGCACCGAGAATGAAAAAAACCAAACTAATCCTAAAGAGCACGAAAAGACAAAAGACTAGTAGTCAAGAAATTACGAGTTTTAAGTATCATTATAAATGTCTTACAAATCTAAACTCTTGCATCGACTCTTCTGATCGTGCATGACTGTTTCAAGGAATTACAGCCCAACACACCAAGGGCATTGCCATTTCCACACTAGCATGTTTGCGAACTTGCTTGTTTTGCTTTTACCTGAGGGGATCCTCTGTTCTGTTTTCTGTATTTTAGCAGCTCTCATTTCTGATGCCCTACATTCGGGACACAGATTTTCTGAAGGCAGGAAAGGGAGACAAATTTTTGAATTGCATAGGCATCCAAACCTCACAGCCACCCAAGCACCTCTGATCTGTCCTGGCTGGGTGCCCAGAAGGGAAGGAGGGGTTTAATAGTGTTGCAGCCCATGGTATAAACCCTGAGTAATGTCACAGAAAGGGGGATAAAAAGAGAATGAGATTTTTAAGGCTTGGTATGTTAAGTTTCCTGCTCATCAACTTTGACAGTGTTCCTTTAAAAATCAGCACCTCACATCCATCGACTTTTAAGTTCATGCCTTTTTTATAGAGTTGGAAATCTTCTATTTTTAGCATGATGGATGGATAAATTTAAAGGAGGAGAGCATCCATAGAGATGAACTTCTCAAAATATTATTAAATTACTTTAGGAGAAAGTGAACAGAATAAGATTTACAAATCATAGGAATGTTATCATATGATTTGGCCAGTATTTGGATAGTTTTGACTTAAATCTTCAAGTTTCTCTCATCTCACTATTAAACTGATGGCCACTCTGGTTGCCTCTGAGCTTCTTACAAGAGCATTGTCCATACAATCTGGACAGTCCTGTATGTGTCCTACAATGTATCTGTCCAAGTATATGTTGTTCTTGGCTGTTTAGGGATAATAGTTCTGGAACAGGACTCAACATTTATAGATTGAGGGGCTTCCCTGGTGGTGCAGTCGTTAAGAATCTGCCTGCCAATTCAGGGGACACGGGTTTGGGCCCTGGTCCGGGAAGATTCCGCATGCCGCAGAGCAACTAAGCCTGTGTGCCACAACTACTGAGCCTGCATGCCACAACTACTGAAGCCCACGTGCCTAGAGCCTGTGCTCCACAACAAGAGAAGCCACTGCAGTGAGAAGCCCGTGAACTGTAATGAAGAGTAGCCCCAGCTTGCTGCAACGAGAGAAAGCCCGCATGCAGCAACGAAGAGCCAACACAGTCAAAAATTAATTAATTAATTTTTTAAAAAAATTATAGATTGGTATTAATTGAGAATCTTAAATAAAAACTTGTAATTTTAGCCCTAAAATGGTCCACAAGATTTTGTTAGTTTTCCTTTACAGGATCTGTGAGAAAACAAGCTCCAGCGTGTTAAAATTTTGTCCTTGTTCAAGTATAAGAGTTTGCTAAAAATTAAATCTAATCTCTCTCAGTCTGTTGTTCACTGTTCCAAATCTCTAAATAGAAAATTTTAAGTAAGTTATATCATTATAAAGCCAGGCAGTGTTTTTCACTTCTACAGGCAGCTAACAGTAATAATGTCATCTCATGATGGCCAATGGGCTATTTCTTCTCTGATTTGCTTGACCTCCTCTGTGGTCACCATTGGTGAATGTTACATTACAAGGCATAGAAGAGGCCACAGAATGGCTGAGAGGTCTGCAGGGATGAGAGCATCAGCGCTGTTCATCCTGGATCAGAGTCTGATTCTAGCCCAGCTGTCATCTACCGTTCCCTTTCTGCATTCTGAGTGCCATGCCAGGAACAGCAGGGACTTAAGGAAAAGAGGTGAGATCTGGCCCTGAGTGATAGTCTCCTTGAAGTCCTCAGAATAGGTCCAGCCTTGGCTTGGCTCTTACATTATTCTAGAAGGCCCTTCTCCCACTCCTCTACATTCTAAGTCAATTTTGAAGTTCACATTTTCTGTGAAATCTCCTACCACTATAGCCAGCACCTTCCAATTACATCTTTGTCAGTTAAACTTACAGTTCATTTCACACAGTTTGACATACAATTCTCCAAACAGCAAACCTTCTCTATTTTGTCATGTGTTTTTTTTTTTGTTTGGTGACCCTGACAGGACTATCGAATTATGGAAATCATGGCACTGCTTCTCTTCCTTTACTTTTTCCTCCTCTCCCCTTATTCTCTGTGTGCTCCAGGTTCCTCACTTCCTGCTTCCTTTCTTACCATTTACTGTCAGAACTCTCCCGCCATGTGAAACTACTTACAGTTTCAGTTTCCTGCTTTCTTTTCCTTGTCTGCCACATTCCTATCATGAGATCAGCTCAAACCTTCTATCTGAAGCCTCCCCAACATGGACACACAGACATTGTCAGTACTTATCACCAATATGCTGGTTCTATTGTCTCAGATACCATGGTAAGATGACACTTCCTACCCCCTTGAAGTTAGGTGCTCATGGGACTCTATTTGGCCAATGATTCCATGAGTGGAAGTAACATTTGCCACTTCCAGGTAGAAGCATCCAAGAAGAAACTTCCAGGTAGAAGCTTTCAAAAACACATGTTTCCTTGTGCATCCCTCTCCCTGACAGGGCAACATTCCAGATGATGGAGTCTCTGTCAGCTTCCCAGAATAAGAACACCTTTGGAAGAGGGTCCCCTGCAGACCTGTGATATGCAGGTAACACAGGCATGACTCAACTGCTCATTACTTACGCCACCGAGATGCAGGTTGTTTATTGCACAGCCTAACTTAGCCCATCTAGAAAATGCAGTTGACTTCAGAGCTCTTCTTTGTGTGCCTACAGCACCTTGTCTTTCCTCTACCTCAACACTTATCCTATTTCCTGTCTGTCTTCCTGGTAGACCTTGAGCTTCATGATGATATGGCTTTGTATTTGTGCATCCTCCATGCTCACCACAGTGTTTGGCATAGAGTATGCTCTCAAGAAACACACGTTGGGGACTTCCCTGGTGGCGCAGTGGTTAAGAATCTGCCTGCCAATGCAGGGGACATGGGTTCGATCCCTGGTCCAGGAACATCCCACATGCTGTGGAGCAACTAAGGCCATGTGCCACAACTACTGAGCCTGCACTCTAGAGCTGGTGAGCCGCAACTACTGAGCCCAAGAGCCACAACTATTGAGCCCGTGTTTTGCAACTACTGAAGCTTGCACGCCTAGAGCCCGTGCTCTGCAACAAGAGAAGCCACTGCAGTGAGAAGTCCCCGCACCACAACAAAGAGAAGCCCACACTTGCAGCAACTAGAGGAAGCCCGTGCACAGCAGTGAAGTCTGAACGTAGCCAAAAATTAAAAAAAAAAAAAAGAAACACACTGAAGGAATGACTAAAACGTGCCCACCCCATGTTGAATATATCCTGACATTATCCCTGATATTCGTGGATTTTTGCCCATTCTACTGTGGGTAGGCATGAGTCTACTCACAGTTATGGCAGGTGGCGCCCACGTAACCTGTGTCACTGCAGTTACAGTAGAAGGTCACCCAGGACTGGAAGCAGCTTCCTCCATGTTCACAGTAGTTTGGCAAACACCTTGAGAGATGGAGCAAAATCAAACAAAATAAACCAAATCAGTTGAAATAAGGGGAAAAACAAAAACGTCTTATATCCAACTACATGAATTAATGGTAGAAATCGGTCTGCTCTACTCCCATTCCTGAGTGAGACTTGAATACGTGAACATAAGACAATCGTTTCACCACAAGAGGTGGGTCCACCTGGTACTACTGGGCAAAGAAAGGCTCAGGGCTGATTTAGGCAATTAAATAAAGCATTTCAACACTGGGGCACATGTTCATTGACTTAAAGTTAATTTGAAGTGGTCAGAATTTGTAAGGTTTTTCACTTACTGTAGAACAAAATAGACAAAGATGTAATTTTGCATTTTGAAAAGGTTTTGCATTTTTAAAAGAAAGGGGAAAGAGGCAAATAATTGAGGTCATAATCCTCCTGCTTCTCTTTTGGGTGACGGCCAGGAGTCTATTTTAAACTCCCCATGAATTTGAAAAGATGGTATCTGTTCAGTTAACATACTAGGAAATTCTATAATTATTAACAGAGCCAATAACACCCTTAAAATGAGGCCTTTACTACTTATAATGAAAACAGTATGACTATTCTGAAAAATATTTTCACCATACACTTTAAAAACTCTCTGAAACATTCATATAAGTTAACCCAGAAATCACCCTTAGATGGCTCTATCTTTAGGATGTATTTCAAAACATAAAACTATGTGTGCTAATTATCCTTATTCACAATGATGCCGTGATGAATCCATGTAAGTTTCCAACATGAGAAGATTTCTTAGGAAAGTTGTAGTACATAATATTAATGGGCTATCATAAAGCTACTACAAATGATGTTAGCAAAAAGGAATAAAACAGACTGGGGGTCTTCCTGGTGGCGCAGTGGTTGAGAGTCCGCCTGCCGATGCAGGGGACACGGGTTCGTGCCCCGGTCTGGGAGGATCCCACATGCCGCCGAGTGGTTAGGCCCGTGAGCCATGGCCGCTGAGCCTGCGCGTTCGGAGCCTGTGCTCCGCAACGGGAGAGGCCACAACAGTAAGAGGCCCGCTTACCGCAAAAAAAAACAAAAAAACACTGGGACTGGATTAAGTGAAAATTCAAGATATGAAGCATAACAAGGACAAACGTTAAGTGTCTCTTGGGCTAAGGGGAGTGAAGGCAACATTCATTTCTTCTCGACAAAGATCACAGACTTCAGGGTTATATATATCTGAGCACAAATCCCAGCTCAGCAATTTACTACATGGTGTCTTTAGGTAATTCTCTTCATCTCTTACATACATGATTTAAAATCTCTACACTCCGGGTACTGTTCTCCTAAAAAATAACCAGGCAAGCGCTCAATATGTATAACAAATAAGATTAAGAGTAAAAGCAATGCTAAACACTGAAATTTTTGAAAACAATCTTTACGGGAAGAGTAAAATCTCATGAATTTCAACAGGGACAGGGAATAACCAGCGAAATCACAGAAGTGGTATAATACAACAAAAGGGTTCATTGTGCAGCCACCGAAAATGTGAGGCAAGGAAAAGTAAGATGATTTACCCTAAGTGTCCTACATAGGTAGGAAACCCTCCAGCAATGATTGTTTCAAAGCCCAGAAACTAATATTCCTGAACATGTCCAGACATATTATTAGAAATTTTCTGCTCAGCACAGCAAACACACTATTGTGCTGACAGGGCTTCTGTTTGGGAAAAACCTTTTGATACCATGGTGCCCAGCTAAGGCTTAAAAACACAGAAAAAAGCAGGGAGGGGGGGAAGGGACTCAGTAATTTTGCTCTGGAACATGATCACAAAATCCAACCAATCAATAAATAAACCAAAACATGAGCCCTTCCGTACTCCAAATTCTACCCTTCCTCTGGATTCCCCCACCCAGCTTGGTGGAAAAGAAACAGGCTTGTTACTCAGATAAACCACAGGTTTCTGCCCCACCCCCCACCCCTGACACCAGTAACCTTGTGCTGTGGGGAAGTTAGATAAACTTGAAGCATAAGTGTCCTCACGAGCAAAATCCAAGCAAGAACCTCTGCCTCTGGGTGTGCCCTGATAGAGAGCCTGTGAAGGCCCACCCTCCTCCACACCTTTTCTTCTTTTGCATCCAGAACTGCTTGTTTCTGAATACTGCTTCTCCTGCAGTGGACTTTTCTCAAGATCTTTCCCCTCTGAACCTCTCAAATTCTTACATGACATGTCTATGGCTGCTCTATCCCACCCCATCCCACTCCCCTTCCCCAATCGCACATATACACACACACACATGAGTCAGATTCCATGATTGACAAACAATGGTATTACTGTTCCCCTCCCTCCACCAAGAAAAAGTTAATTGCTTTAAAGATGGAAAGCTGAGCAAAGCCAGGTCAGTAGGTAGTTATCCTATAGTTCTTTTGGTTTTGGCACCAAGAAAGTTCAGATCAGCCCCTTTTTTGATGACTGAAGCTATAAGATAAAAACTCAGAAGTTGTCATTGGCCATGTTTTCAGCCATGAGAAGAAAGCTTATCTGCAGTGAAAAAGAGAGAGAGAAAAAAATGCTGAGGTTCCAGAACGCAGCAGAAAAGACAGATGGAGAGACTCCTGACAATATTTGTATGGCGGTTCTCTGCTGTTTCCAAGATTAGGTTGCATCCCTGAACTTTCTGAGGGCTGGTTGTTTTAATCTAGCTTAGATTCTGTGAGACAACCCAAGATCTTTCTGGGAAAACCCCCTATGTATTCAGGCTAGCTTGAGTTGGGATTCTCTTATTTCCAACTAACAATCTTAACTTTTTGTAAATCAGCATCCTATAAATACAAACAGCAATAGAAACACATTTTTCCTTACAATTTTACACTTAAAAGTATTTTTAAAACTCAATATTGCCAAGCTAAGTGGGGCGTGTAGGGGGAGGGATCTTGTGGAAAAGTATAAGAACTAGCTGGGTACTTTGAACATACTTAAAAAGCCTCACACAGACCTTGTATTACAGTGTTACTAAACTCAATTTACCAACAAATATGTAGGCTAGAAATTCATTTGTTTATGGTCACTCAAAAAAAATGATGTATTTCTGAGAAGGAAAAAGAGTACCTGGGAAAAGAAAAACATCTAATATTCCTAGAACGAGAAAAAATGAATGAATACTTACAGGGCTGCCTTTGAGCTTGGTTCATTTTGGTTCAATGCACACTGTGATTAGAAAAACTCATTTGTAAAGTAGACACTCAAAATAAAAGATGTATAACCCCAACTGGCTTATTTAAAAAGGGCAGTTTTAGGAGTATAATTTCCGTGTTCTTTAATCAGTTCATTTTAACTGGTGTTTTGTTTCTTTTTCTCTCTACTTGGTATACACTGAGCACTTGAGACATGAACACAGAAAGAGGCCAGTGTGGAACTACGCAAGTGAATAGAACTCATTAAGTGTGAGGACAGTGACAATCTTAGGTGTAAGGCACTGAATTCAATTTGCTACGAGATAATCATGCTGAACAACTACCTTCTAAAATCCTAATGATATTTCATATACAGCTGAATCAGACGTGCCTTCTTGTGGTGTACGACATTTAATAAACAGAGCTTTCAGCAGAAACACAACTGTTGATGTCATAGTCTTCAGAAGCCCAAAGAAGCATGATGATGTGTGCCAGCAAGGACTCGGAGAGCAGGGCACACGCATCAGAAGCTGTTTGCGTCTTTCTAAAAGCAGGATGTGCATAATTTGAAGGGAGATGAACGAAAGAGTTGAAGAAAAGGCAGAAAAGAATTAGGAATGGAAGGAGAAAAGAAAAAAATATAACAGGGACAAAAGTGTTATACGAGTTTTACATGAGAAAGTATAATTTTACCCGAAATCAAAACTTCTTCCAAAAGAAAAGGCTCATTGCTAGTTGGAGCTGTGGACCACCCAGGTAAGAGATGAAGTGGGCAGAAGAGTTGTCCAGAGTGGCCCATGGACCTCATTAATGGTCCAATCCAGCCTTCCGTGGCATATGGCTCTGGCTCACAGTTGTTTGGTGGTGTGCTTTCTTGTTCGCAGGGAGATATGAAAGAAAAGAAAATGCTTCTCTTTAAAGATGCACAGCAAGGTAGACAGATAAGCTTCTTCAAAGAAGAGAGTATTTTACAGAATACTGAGAGACTGACTTACTCCAAAGACTAGAGTCCAATTTCAAGCATCTTGGCAAGCATATTTTCTGCCAAATACACTTCGCCCCCCTGGGCATTAGGAAGAACAGAGGGACCCCTGCTGTTTTCCTTGAGAAAGATCAGAGTGGTTCTTTCCCTAACTTAGCTTTCACTGAGGCCAAGCACAAGTTTCCAGCTGGAGCAGACCAACCCTGGGAAAAGCATTAAGAAAGCAGAGGGAATCAACATAGTTTTGGAAAATATAGTCAGTATGTTTATAATTTAGAAAGTTTCAAAGAATCAATATGAATTTTCGGCTTCTCTTAAACGAAGATCAGATTACTGAGAACAGTCATTGCAAATCTCCTGATTTTCCATGTCAGTGACTTCCAAATTTGTATTTCAAGTTCAGTCTTCTCTCCTGAATTCCAGACCCATAAATCCAGCTGCCTGCTTCAAAGTTCCACTTGGGTGTCAGATGTTTCAAACTGCATGTCCAAACCTGACTTTCTGATCTCATACTTCGCCTCCTTCCCCCCAAGTTCTCTACTCACATCCTTCACTATCAGAGGAGGGCAACTCCATACTTACCACTCTCCAGACCCCAACACTTGCAAGTCCCCCCGCCTTCCCTCACAGCCCTCATCTGAGGAACGAGTACATGTCTCTGGCTCTGCTTTTAGAATCTGTTCTGCATCTGACCACTTCTCATCACCTCCTGCTACCACTCTGGTCTGAGTCACCAGCATCTCTTGCCTGAACAACTGTGATCATCAGCCAACTGGTCTACCAGCCTCCATCTCCGATCCCTTCAGTATGTCCCCAACACAAAAGCAAGAGAGATCCTATTAACATCTAAGGCAGATTGAAACCCTTCAAGGACTTT